GGAGGCGAGCGTAAAAGTATTAATATTCACGCCACACTAGCACTATCTGTATTAGCAACAATGTTACTGTAAAACAAACCAAAAATAGCTTCGCACTTCACAAAAAAAAACATAGCCACACCATTGTGGCAATTTGGTGTGACTACTACTAATAATAATGCAAAGTGCTCATTACTGGTAAGAGTCACAACGCAATGGACACAGCGCGTTTCAATTAATGACTACCTACCTGTCAAACAGACGATTTTTTAAGACACGTAAACGAGCACGGGGGTCAACTGATAAGTGAGGGTAATTATATACACTTGCTACTCAGAGTCCATGAGTGCTTTGCAGCTTTTAAGTGGTATAACGCTCTTTTCTTGAAGGTAGAAGGTCGTTTTTCCCTAAAATACCATACCGTAGACAAGACATTACGTGAAAAGCGCGCAGTAGAGCGCCAATTTTGAAAGTTTTCGGTTATATTTATTGGTTTTCTTAAATACTGATAAGACCTCGTGATCATGGCCTTTTCTCGTAAATTAGACAAGTTACTATTTTTGGGTTTTTAATGTCTATCCTAAATTTATTGTCAAGTTAAGTGTCATTAATCCCTCGCGTGTCAAAGGCATATAATAAAGCGAGAGTACCGTCCAGTTGGACATAAAAATCATACACATTTTAATTACCGATATGTATGATATGTAGGTACCTTCACCGCAACTCAGTGTAAATAAAAGGCAGATGTAGTTTAAAAATAACGTAAGTTTATTACATGTAATGAAATAAAAATATAATATTATAAACTTTTATTCAGTTACATGTATAAATGATTCCGTGTCAGGAGCACGTGGCCCATGTTTTGGTATTATATTCAACCTCGATTATAATTATATCCATATACCGAACAATTGTGACGTGATTTCCGCCATCTTGTCAAACGTTTAAAAAGAATAAAAAAAAAACAAATATTTAAAAATGTATCACGTCACCATTGTTATTGACGATAGTTTTTAAATGGATAATTGAATCTGTCACTTATTTGGCGCCAACTTTTATTATTTTTTGTTTTCGGCCAACGCGAGTTTTGAAATTGAATGAACATTTAAAAACTTCCGCAATCACTTCATAAGTTTTATAAGCTACACATCGACACCACAGCGACTTTATATCTAACTGTATGATTCATACCGATAAAAAGCTGGGTGGACTAATAAAAGTTCAGAACAATCCTGTCAACCCAACTTCATGTGAAATAAAACTAAAAAATTTAACTTGTTATTTACTTATTACCAAAAATATAATATATTATTATGGCTGAGTTTTCAAAGATACGATAAATGTCTATTATTAATAATAATCTTCGTGTTGTTTTAACTCTATATTATTTTAGCCTAAACTTATGATTAAGACGTTTTCAACACTTACAGTTCGCAATGTGTCAAATATTAGAGATCTGTATCTTGATTTTATTATTTTGTGACGTTCTTTTTGTTTTATGTTGCGAATTATTAATGATATGTATGGATAAGAAAATATACATCGCTGATACAGGTCATAGACTACTGAAATAATGTTTTTCTAGTTGGCAATATCAGTCGTGTTAAACGTCAGTGTCAGCCAGACAAAAGTCATTCATTCAAATGCAATATCCATTTTACAGAAATCGACAGATTGCCAAATTAAGATTCTACAGTAATTGGGTTGACATTGAGCAAAAAGAACATCACAAAACTTTCTACAACCCCAACATTTGGCAGGATCAGCTCTTGTCATTGATTTAAAAAGCCCAGTGTGAGTTCTTTGAAAAACAATCAAAGAAAAAAGGGCTAGAATCACAAACCTTTTAACATAATACACCCGAGAAAATAATCAGTATTTTTTTCTGCAAAAGTATGTTTTTATTTTAAATAGAACCTGAAATTCTTGAAAACTCACGTAACCCATAAAACCTTGTCGTTCGTTTCTTGTCTTTCAAGTAACTCACACCGTCACTTAGTGTTCAAATAAAATGCTATTTATTTGGTGAAAGCGTAGACTGCCCATCTAAGTAAACAGCTTATAAACACCGCCACATATCATGTTGTTTATGCCCAACACTACAGTTCCATACTGCGATAACTATTAACTAATATAGTTATGAAAGTGCTCAGTTTTCTATATACCTATTTTTCACACCATAACATACATGACAAATAGCTATGGAGTATTGAATGTTGGCAATATTAGCATCTAAAATAACAATATCAAACATTCGACAGTAGCCGGCGGTGTTCAGAGCTTAAAACAATGATTGTGCTAAGAAAATAATAGCAACAAATATATCTAAAAGCAACAAACAGCAATTAGACTAAGTACAGTTTCTCTTTATATTTAAATTCTCAACCTCTTTTGACGAATTGACATTACATTTTATTAAAATTTTCACTCACAAGGAAAACAAAGGGAAGAAATGAAAATCACAGTTTTGTTGCAAATAACACGCCAAATTTCTTACAGGTTAATATTGGCTAGACCACAGACAATCTATGTTAGTGTTGCCATATTAAATATGTAGGTTTGGCAGAATTAACCGACAGTATATAGTTTATATCATTTACGGTGAGGATCAGATGTTAGTTTTAAACATGCTTCGTACTACAGATAAAAAATTAGGTAACAAACAGAATTAGCTGCATATGACACAAGTTTGTAACAAAGTATACGATTCAATAAGAATAGATAATATTGTATTCCGTTATATATAAGAATTTGACAAGTAACAACAATTATACAAATACCGATTTCTGAAACGCAAAATTCGAGCCGATTAATTCGCCTAACTAGATCGCCATATCAGAGGGAGATCTACTACACAATGATACATGTCTCTTCGAATACAACTAAAATCATAATAATAAAAAAAATTAAATACCTATGAGATATAGTGATGACTTCAGTCCGACGCCTCGGGCTCATTTTAAGTTGGATTTAAACTATGGGACAGATAGGCTATTTACAAAATGCTATCTCGCTCACTCACACTGTGTGTTGCCAGTTAAGAAAAATTCGTCCAATTAAAAATGTTAATGTTTGTCTATGATATTTTTCGAAGTTATATTTTTATTAATAAAGCGCATTTACACGCTCTTTTAAAGTTAATATCTAATTAAATATTCATTATATTTATTATACGTGGTGAGTAATTACATTTGAAATGTTACAAAATGATAATCACGCTATTGGTCATACACCATTACACGAATATACCATATTATGTTGGAATTCCAAAGTATATACATTATTGTGATTATATTCTTAATTACACAACCGTTATATGCTCTTAGATTATATAAAGGCTTTTGATTATAATAAAAATGGATAATGTGTAGGGCAACGATGATCAAGGAACTAACCATCAATATTATTGTAACACTTCTAAGGTAATAAGCCATCACGCCTACAGCATAGCCTGCAAAAGTGAGACTGACAGAAAGAACTGAAAATATATGCAATACTATAAAATAGGGAAAAGAAACCGAGTTCATGTAATTAAATGTATAAAGGCAACGGTATATCAAAACTATTGATGAATAAATAATGACGGTTTGAAACGCGAGGTGTCTCACGGCCGTCTGAACCCAAAATAGGCAGAGCCTGTACTACGGTAACCTGATGGTCAATTCTCGTCATAAAAGTATCGGTAGTCTGAAGGCCAATTCTCGTAATAAAAGTTCAATCTCAATTCAGTTCTGATCTCAAAACTGTCATAAACAGTATTTTCGTATAGTAAAGTATTAAATATTCAAAGTTGACTGTAATGTGATTATATCGTATTGTAACCGAAAATTGAATCGGTAATCTGCTAGTCTGCTAATTTTACTACGAGAATACCTTTTATGACAGTTGTGAGATCATTATAAAATTCTCGTGTCACGGTGTGCGTGGTTGAACTCCTCCGACGGCTCGACCGATATTCGTGAAATTTTGTGGGTATATCGGGTAGGTCTGAGAATCGGCCAACATCTATTTTTTTTTGAAATAATGTATATGGCAAAACAACGTTTGCCGGTTCAGCTAGTTTATCTATAATATGTATGTATTTGGAAATATTTAAGTACGTTAATCTGCAGTATGATGACCATAGCACAGGCTCGCCTAGTTTGGGATCTGACGGCCGCCTGTCTAATGTTTCAAGATATCATTATTAGAAAGTAAGTTACAATATTTTAACTTCGAGTTTTTAAACAGGACAAATAAAAATTCTCTTGCTAATTTCCGTCAGTCGCCACTTTTTTTAGACGCAACTAGGGCAATTTAAACCTTAAATCCCAATAATATATAATACTTAGTAACAGCATTAAATGTAGAGAAAAGCCTAGGCATTCCTATATTCCTCAACGATCCCTAGTTACGCCTACCCACCTAATTTTTACTGTATTTTGTGAACACTTTTTTCTCTAACATATTGCTGCTAATCTTAAGCGTAACGACACATCAAAGACAAGCCATAGACAATCCTAATTTAACCATTAAAACTTTCCCACACACCAACGACTAAGTTTAAACACATTTTTTTTTATATTACTGTCATGCATTTTTTTTTTCATTATACATATATTTAAAGCGTTGTATGTTCGCCGCCGGAGAATATCACCTGAGCATTTTTTTTTTATTTCTAAATTGGCAATGTTTTCTGGTCCATTGAAATAGATAGGTATGTAACTTTTTTCAAATATCGGGCAGCGAACGTCTGTACGAATACAGATAACTGGCTTCGGTTGTTACTTTGTACCTCTTCTGTGGTCTAATTTCGTTTAGTATTTAAAAAAAGTATATAGCGTTTACTTTTACAGATACAGTTTTATTGTAATTGTAAATGATACCTTTCCCAACAATTCATCAATCGATAATTCGGCAACATCCAAACTAATCCTTTTTTTCATTGGCAGCACTGAAACCAAAGACACTAGACCACAGACTATAAATTAAACACACAAGGCAGTGTTGAGTGAGCAAGTGTATATGCATGGTAACTTATGTTATAACTCCATGTCTTGCGCTTCATCATCACTGAATTCGCTCATGGAGCTTTCTGTATCGCTATTGTTGGAGTTGCCGTTTGAGGGTTTGGAGCCCGAGGAGGCGGGTGTTGCGCCACCCATGCCGGTTATCGCGTCTTTTTCTAAAAGGGCTTCTTCTGTTGCGAATCTTCGGACGTAATCTGAAATAGACATATGTGGTATTAAAAGATACAGGATTTACCTAAAATAATTCATTTAAATCAATTAAAAATATTATAAAGCTGAAGTGTTTGTTTGTTTGTTTGAACGCGCTAATCTCAGGAACTACTGGTCAAAACTAAAAAATAAACAAAAAAAAAATCAATTAAAAACTTCTTATGTCATTGTCCATAGGTTCACAACCGAGTTCATATATTATTTTTTTTCATAAAAAGACAACTCACGCCTCCTGTGTCGCGGGGGACTTTATAAACACACATGAAACGGACACAAAGAACACCCAGATTCAGAACAACAATTTGTGAATCACACAAAGTGTCGTCCCATGTGGGGTTTGAACCCACAACACTCGGCGTAGTAGGAAGCGGCGTGGCGACCGCTTAAACCACTACGCGATTCGTACAGTCTTATTAATAATAATTATATTAAATTGCTTTAACGATGCGTGAATTTATTTATTATCGTACTAGCTGACCCGCGCAACTTCGTCTGCGTCTCTCAATAGTAATAAATTTTCTCCGTTTTTGAAACATTCTTCATTGGTGCTCCGCTCCTATTGGTCTTAGCGTGATGATATATAGCTTATAGCCTTCCTCGATAAATGGGCTATCTAACACTGAAAGAATTTTTCAAATCGGACCAGTAGTTCCTGAGATTAGCGCGTTCAAACAAACAAACAAACAAACTCTTCAGCTTTATAATATTAGTATAGATTGTACTGATTTTCAACTAAAAGTAATGAATATTCAAGAGTAGAGCCTACAACAAACAAGTCTACACAGAACGTCTAAGCTTTTTATTTTATTTGCTGTGTGAATATCCCCCCTTCATGTTGTCTAACAGCGGGTTGGTGTCTGCATAGTTTGATTAAGTCTGAGACTGTCTGTGTTCTGAGTGCAAACTGACTAACTGACTGCCTGCGTGAGTGGATAAGTAAGACCACCTCAACTTTTTTTGAAAAGCACACTACGGAAAACTGCGAATGGTTTAAATTTATTATTTAGATATTAGGCCTTTACCTATGAAGTTGGAGATTTTTATCATCATCATCAACAGCCTTTAATAGTCCACTGCTGGACATAGACCTCTCCTTAGAAAGTTGTTTTTAGGTTTTGAGATTTTCATAAAAAAATTTTTTTTTTTTCATTTTAGCTAATTAAAGTACCGGCCCAAATTATCTATACAATTTTGATGGCAGTTTCTTTATCTCTTTACTGTAGCAGTCTGTGGGCGTAAGGCGATGTAGTCAGCAGGAGCGTTTTGTACTGCCTAAAAAAATTGACTAAATATTGTAAAAAGACGGAATCTATTCTGGCAAGGTCCAGTAAATACAGTGGGAGACGGAGAACTTCCAGTTGTAACTTTTGTAGCTTTTGGGAATGTACTGTCGAAGTGGGAGATTGCGCGTTGTCATGGAGAAGCACGTCGTGTTCTTAGCAGTTCTTAGCAATGCTGCCTGCGTAGTTTTCTCCCTTAGTCGGCTCTTACGACACCCATGGGATGAATAGGGGTGGTCACATTTCGTATTCTTAATCCGTCACCACACCAACAATACATAGTAGTATTATTTATAAAGGAGTATGTACTCGTATGCTATGCTTACCTGAAACTTTTTTCTTGTATTCCTCGGGTTTGTGCAGATACATTGCGGCCGCGTCGCCATTCAGCGGGTCGATAGGGTTTGGATACGTCAGCAGTTGTGGCAGAAACGACTCGAATATGTTCGACAGGTCTGGAAACAAACAAACTTACACATATAACATATCTATATATATAAGAGATTTCCACGTATATAGTCACTCATCACGATATCTCTGGAACCATTAGAGCTAAAGACTTGAAATTTGGTAGGAATATTCTTTTCACCGAGTAGAGGTCAGCTAAGAACGGATTTTACGAAATTTTAAAAAAAATATATAAATAATGTAAATAGCAAAACAACGTTTGCAGGGTCAGCTAGTAACATATATTATAGACTGTATTTGTTACCGATCTAGGGACCACATCCAAGAACTCGCTATTGTACCGACAGAAGTAACAGAAGCGACAGCTTAACATTGTACTATTTTACTTTCAAATACGGGTTTTGCACTAGCAAAAGTATTGTAATGTGAAAAAAAAACGGGTTCCATAACTATAGGAATAGCATCATCAAATTATTATTCAATAATAAGTATAAAAACACTTTGGTATAATCTGAGAGAGTCGCAGTGTCACTTGCTCATAGCTACACGTCGCCACACCGCATTACATTACACCATCACATAGCGTGGCGACGCACGTCATGGCGGATTGCCATCATCATGCATCAGATGTTTGACATCAAAAATTATGTGTTCTTATAATTATCACGCAAGTCATAGATTTGTATCATACGGAAGGAAGGTTTATCTATCACGTTTGGTGTCCAAAACGGGAATCAAACTTGTAACTACCATTAATACATACTTACCTATGTACCTCTACTATCATTACTAATATATCAAAACAACGAGGTTAGAATCGCTTGAATAATAGATACCAAGTGGCCCACAGCATTGTGGTCAAATTGCAATGATGGCCGCTATTTGCGGTCGATATAAATTCCAATACCCACGGCAAATTTATGAGTAAATTGTACATTCGTGGTCAGAGAAAACTATTTATAATTCAATAGGACATAGGAAAACTTACTAATCGATGTTTATACATAGAGACATACAAACGTGGAGAGTTCAGCACAATAAAGGCGGCTCGACCGGAGTGATACCACGGCAATGATATTATATAGAAAACAGAGGTAGATAAGCCACCGACGCTCAAAACGCGAAGGTCCTAATTAGGACCACTGCGTGCGAACGCACGTACTAATTAATTCGAGAAAATTCCTTCCTTCCTGTATATTCCGAAAGTGCACAAATTACGACAAAAAGGTAAATAAAGATAAAGGAATAAAATAAAACAGGTAAGTGTATATTTTGTTCTAAAATGTATTAATAGATGTATGTACGGTTACGGAACACATATTTTATGCATGCAGTATGAATATAACGTATCTTCCTTAAAATATCATTGTACCACGGCTTGAAATGCACGGCCTAAAAGCTATGTTAGTCAATGTTAACCAATAGTGAGGTTACCAGAGTCCAATCAGAGTTGCCACAGTTACACACAAACAAGTTAGTTTGAAATTCGACGCTGTGGCAGCACTGACGCAAGGTTGTTTTCTTAGACAATACCACTGATGGGGACGATCGGACGTTAAAAGGCGACACCGCACTTGTAAGCCTTGACTTGCAGGTGTCAATGGGTGGCGGTAGTCACCATCATGGGGCCCATCTGTTCGTTTGCACCTTTAAACCAGTAAAAAAGTACAAACATAAACCCACGCCGGATACGGATAGCAGAGGCGTTTTAATATTAATTTATAGGAGTATTTATATTAATCATCTACAGTAGAATATAGTTTTAAGTTCCACTAACGAAATAAAAGGTATTTTGGGAATTAAATACGGGAATATTGGTCTTACATTGGATAAAAAAAAAATAGATTAGGTAGGAAAGCGACTATAGACCGCCGCCCATGAACGTCTGCAACTCAGGAGTCACAAGCGCATTGCCGACCTTTTAGGAAGGAGTACGCTCTTTTCTTGAAAGTTTGAAGATCGTATCGGTCCGGAAATACCGCAGACGATAACTTGTTCCACAGGTTGGTAATGCGGGGCAAAAAGAGTCTTGTCAAGCACACAGTGGTGGAGTGCCAATTAACCAAGTGGTGGGGATGAACATTTTGCCGTGTGGAACGATGGTTGAAAGTTGCGGCTGATATTAGTTCGAACAATTCCTCGGAGCACTCTCCATGATATGTACTATAGAGAATGCAGAGCGAAGCTACATCTCTACGTAACGAAAAGGGATCGCGCCGGTCGGAGATCTTTTGGCTATCGACGACGCTCTTATTTGAATACGGTCCAGAGAGAAAAGTTGGTAATAAGATGCCCCTGAATAGAGATAAAAACAGCGCTCCATTTGCGGCCGAATTTGCGCTTTCTAGAGTTGGAGGCGATGGGCTGGAATGAAATACTGCCTAGATTTGTTCAACACACCGAGCTTCTTCGAGGCCAATTTGACTTTACCCTGTAAATAACCGTGAAACTGAGCTTCGTTCGATATGTCGATTCCTAGGATTCCGATACTGGCCGAGGCAGTTAGGCTACTCCGATAATGGTTAGGCTTGTATGATCTGAAAATATTTGTTTCGGAGGTTGGGTATTTTCTAGGTATAATATGTATATACGAAAAAATATATAAGTATTCTATCAGTCAATCTAGCTTTCATAGTACAAGCTCTGCTTAGTTTGAAACTAGATGGCGTTGTGTGTCAGATGTCCGAAAATATTAATATATTATTTTTATTATATTATTATTGGTGGAGATTTCAGTGCGGGTCAATCGCACGCCGAACAAGGTTACCTGTCGAGAGCTAGTTGATGTGAAATAAACTCACACTAGGTCCCCAGTACTCTTACGTCGAGGTATCAGGGTTTTCCTTCCTTGGGTACATCTGGCTCCCCGGCAACTGATACCCGACACTGGTTCAAGTCCGACATAACCACCGGTGGGTGGTATCCGCGGGGATTGCCGCACAGGAAAAAAAAGGTCCACAGTACTCTAAAGTTCAACCATAATTATGACACATTCATGACACGTCATTCAGTAAGCTTCTGAATCATCATAACGTACGATGTTATGAACTTAGTGAAGAAAGGTCTCTTTTGTCTTGATTTTTTTCCCTATTTCAAGCTTTTCTTTTGATTTTTAGAAGGTTTACTTTACTGAGGCACGCTTTATATGCGTATATGTTTTTTCCAATCGTGTCAGACTTTTGTAAAACACGCTTGTGAAAACTTAGCTACTGACACTACCTTTTTGGCATAGTTTAATTTAAATAAAGTATTAGAAACGATGTCGGTACAATGAAAATTGTATAAATTTATACAAAAATCGCTTTTACAAAACTTCTTTGTTGTGTTTTCATCTACAAAGTTAGACATATAGAGTAATTATTATATTATACATTATTTTATAAACCTTTTTTTTTAAATTAATTAGTTGTATTGTTAACTTAAACATCACTCTATTCATTAGTTTTATTTTTTCGAAGTTTATTACGTCAGGAAATACAGAAGACATACTAATGCGGAGGTTGTGACTATAAAAATTTAAATCCAAAGAAATCATCATTAAAATCAAATTTTGTTTTTCTTTTTTTATGAAAATACTATGGCAGCACATAACTATCATAACAGTAGTGATGTAAGTGGTAAAAAAAATATAAACCATAATCTATAAATTAAAAAAACGAAGTAGATTTTTGAATTCATAAATAGAACACAAATTGGCGCTCGAAAAAAGTGTAACATTTTTTAATAAAACCAATAAAGAACTTACCATATAAAGCAGTCCAGGCCTGGTTGATAACATCGAGGCACACGCTGCCGGATACCTCGTCAATGTTTGGATGATACACCTTGTTCATGAAGCCAATTGACGGTGACTTGAATGGGTAATGGTCGGGTAAGTGCACGCGGACTCGCCATACTCCGCCTTCGTACGGGGCTGGAATTCACATAAAATAATTATTTAAAAAATGCTTTTACCTTTCTCTATGTTAGACTAATTAATAATGTTTGTGTTCCAAGATCATGTTACCCAACGGTAATGGACTAAATTTTGTTCAATGGAAATATCATCATCACATCATAACAACAGCCTTTACTAGTCCAATACTGGATACAGGCCTCTCCTTAGAATGGAGGTTCTGGCCTACTATACCACGCTGGCCATACGGATTGGTATAGGGTTTGTTTCAAGTTTTGCTTCTCTTTGTAGTGCTGTTATCCTGCAGAGTTTGCTCCCTTAGTCGGCTCTTACGACAACCACGGGATAAATAGGGGTGGTGAAACTCCGTATTCTTAATCCGTCACCACACGAAGAATTAACAAAAAAAACCAACTTTATAAAAAAAAAAACGCAAATTAATCAAAAGGGGCTATCCTTAAATTACGTCTTAGATTAAGACAGGGTATGACAATAACGTGTGGCATTGTGTGACAAGAAGGAGGGGTCGTAAGCTACGTGACATCACATATAAAAATCACAAATCACACTTTGACATTTTGTTAAAGTGTAAACATAAAACACGTTAAAATACTTGTAAATGAAAAAAAACTGGAAAAAAAGCATTGTAAAATAGAAAACATGTAATGTCATTCAAGGGAGGAGTTCCCACAAGTGGTGCCAAAATATATAATATATGATGATTGGTCAGAATAAAAATGTGGGCATCACGACGCACAGTTGACTTTTAATAGTTTTTATTACAAAGATTTAGAACCACACGATACATTATGATGATGTATGATGTGATATTTTGGCACTGAGCATTCACGGAATTAAATGTTAAATAAATAAACTGTACTTACTGCCTGGAGGACCGAAGAATTTCACGCAGAACTCGTTAAGACCTCCAAGAATTGTCACCTCGTGTTTACTTTCGATACTGTTACGATATTGTTAAGAAAATCTTTATTTTTAGTAACCCTTGCCAAGGGAACATTCCTGATCTTGGCATTAGACATTAGCAGTGCCGTCACTAGTGTTTGCAACCTAATGCGACTAAACTGCAATATTCTTAATGAATGCGTTTATAAAAAACAGATTCAAGCTCAAGATTGAACAATTTTAACGTGTACATAAATAGGGAAGCAGGTACCCAGGAAATGGTTCTGTTACACATACGAGTATTTATGTATTATTTAGGTATTGAATTTATTTTGTTTTTTAAGTTGGTACACCGTTGTAGTAGTAATTTAAAAACTAGCATTTAAGTACTAAGGTTATTATAAATTGAGCGGAACGCCTACAAACTGTTAGAACAGTTTGGCGAATAGAGAAATTGTAAAAAAATGTAAATCAAGTGTGATTAAAACTTTGTAATAAAAATAAAAAACTGACCCGTTATATATTTTATGGCTTACTAAAATTCCATATGCGCATGAGTCTTGATTGCGCTAGCAAAACTTTTTTTTTAATTATTCTTATTGAAAAATTGTAGGAAATAACTGACCTAATTTATATTGGGTTTTATATTTTTTATTAGCGGAAAGATTAAGGAACGATAGGCAAGGTCATTGACACTAACTGATTATAATGTATATTTTCAGTATTTTTAAGAATCTTAGGCGATTGTACATAATTATCTGTCTAATCCTCATGGTGTATTTAAAAAAAACCCTTAAAACTGGCTACTAAATTGCTAGCCCGCCATTAATATTGTGTATACTAAATGTTTTTTTGTTTTATAGTAGGTATAGGAGCGCAAACGAGCAGACGGGGCACCTGATGGTAACCTGGTGGTGATGGTGTCTACCGCCACCCATGGAAACCTGCAAATTAACAGTTGCGTCCCCTTAGAATTGGGATACGATGGGGATTTGCCCCCGATAACTTCACTCACTGCATGAAAATCAATGATATAATTGGTTAACACCGTCCGTCATATGACTGGGCTATTATGAGGTCACTAGTACAAACACATAAACCGTGGCCTACATGATTAAACCACATAATTACAACCGCACGATAACAATGAAGAATATACATACTTAAGTGCTGCGTGTGCAGTAAGTAACAGGACACTGCTTATTCTCACACAAATGGCCGTTCTAATACAATATCGCTTGCCTCTTTATCACAATAGTACACATTAATTGAATGCTTTTATAGTGAACTAGCTGACCCAGCAAACGTTGTATTGCAAAACAAAAAAAATTAGGGATGGGTCACCCTTACCATTTAGGGGTATGAAAAATAGATGTTGACCGATTCTCAGACCTACCCGATGTGCACACAAAATTTCATGAGAATCGGTCAAGCCGTTTCGGAGGAGTACGGGAACGAACATTGTGACACGAGAATTTTATATATAAGATAATTTTTACCATCTGTGGCGACTTCCACAAACATTAAAACAAAAATATACTACACTACTACTAGATGGCGCCATCTCACGAAGACAACGAACTACGGAATAAGCACTAATCCTACATCGCGCAATAAAAGTTCTAGCAGCGATTAGTGTAAACTTTGCCAACTTCCTAACGAGCCAGCTCTAAGGTCAAACGAGTGATGAGCCCGTTTCAGGTACCAAGAGGCGCCCAAAAATATCTACGACCGTAAATATCAAGCGCAAACACTGAGAACTACTAACTGAAACAGTAAACAGGCCACTTTGGGATTTAACTTAATCGAATACAATTTAATGAATTCCAATCGATAATGCCAAATGAATAGTGAACATCCAAGAACAGAGCCCCTCGTCTAATATTCTCCATTTTATAAAATCAGTAAAATACTCAAGGTATTCAAAATAATGCAATGTCACCCAGTGTACAACAATTTAAGGGCTACGCATACGCGAACTGATAAGGAAACAAAGATCAGCTAACACTGCATATAAATAACAAATAAAAGTGACCATAAGGAGGAACCTTCTTGTTTGGCAAACAAAAATTCGAAGTTGTTGAACTTCACAAGTTTTTTTTTATGATATAAGGGGGCAAACGAGCAGACGGGTCACCTGATGGTAAGCAACTACCGCCGCTCATGGACACCTGCAACTCAAAACTCACAAGTGCGTTGCCGCCCTTGGAGTCCACCCCGCTCGTAACCTTACTCACTCAGTGAAAGGCAACGAAAGATTATCTTAACACCGGTTTTCTGTGAGGCCGTGGTATCATTTCGGTCGAGCCGTCCCATTCGTGTCGAAGCATGGCTCTCCCACGGTAAAGGTTCAACAACTTCCATCATACCGTAGAATTTCGACTGCAGAATTTTATCAATTATAAATCTTTAGATTATGTATAAAATGGTACACGTGAGAAGACATACATGTAAACAAGCTAATTATATTACTGAAAAAAAAACGATTTTGTGAAAATGTATACTTAAAATTTATAAACGGCGATTTTAATTTTTATATACACACTCACAATCAAGACGAATCTAAAGACACCTCAAACGCCAAAATCCATCAAGATGTTCAAGACTAGAAGGCGTGCTTAGGAAATATACATAAAACCCAATGGAACAACCACATACTCCCACGAGCCGTACCATCACCGTGATGTCGTCTCCTAGGAGCCGGAGATCTAAAACCTCTGCACCGATGAATGAGAACTATTCATCATCATCATCTTAGCCATCATAGCCTAGTCTAGCAGTGGACTATTAAAGTCCACTGCTAGACATAGGCCTCTCCTTAGAGAGGAGGTTTTGGCCTACTGTACCATGCTGGCCTGACGGGTTGGTATAGGGTTTGTTTCAAGTTTTCCTTCTTTTTGCAGTGCTGTTCTCTTGCGTATTTTGCTCCCTCAGTCGGCTCTTACAACACCCACGGGATGGGTGTTGAGAGTTGTAAGAGTTACGGGTGTTAACACTCCGCATTCTGAATCCGTCACCACACGGAAAATGGAGGACTAGTATACTATGCGTACTATTTATAGGTCTACATAATATAGGAACTGTGTCCTGTATGTTGTTTAGGTTGTATATTATATACTTTAACATGATGATAAGATATTCATTTTACACGTCACTATTTATTTTACGGCACCCAAACATTTTTACAAGCTATACAAGCAATGCATTTAGAACTTCATTATTAAAATCTCCTTATATGAAATTAAAATTGTTATTAATGTAAAAATATGGTTAAAAATCTAAACCTATATCATTAAAAGAAGAAACTGACAAACTGCGAAAGGGTCCTAGTGCCTTTTTTGTTGCACACGTACATCACAAGGAATATTTGTACAAAATTTCATGTTTCTAGACCCACCGGTTTTAACTGTGAGTTGATCGATTAGTCAGTGCATCAGTCTGTCAGTTTCTTCTTTTATAGATATAGATTTGATATTTATAACCATATTTTTTATTTTACATACCATTTTATTTACCATATTTTACATTGTCCGTGTAGTGACGGATTAAGAATACGGAATGTCACTACCCCAATTCATCCCGTGGGTGTCGTATGAGCCGACTAAGGGCGCAAAACAACGCAGGACACCAGCACTGCAAAAAGAAGAATAACTTGACACAAACCCTATAACCCGTCTGGCCAGCGTGGTATAGTAGGCCAAAACCTCCTTTCTAAGGAGAGGCCTATGTCCAGTAGTGGACTATTAAAGGCTGTTGATGAACCATATTTTTACATTAATAACAATTTCAATTGTTATTTTTAAATTCAGGATGTAAAATGGGGTCAGAAATTTATTACTTCGTTATTTTTTGTATTAGCGTTTTCAAACTTACAGTAAACACTTTTTATTATAAGTATTTTTTTCGAAGCTACCATTAAAAGGGGTGCAAATTTGTATGTGGAAACTCAGTATAATAATATTCTCTATCAAAAATCATTAAAAAGCTAAAGCTAATCAGACAGATGTACTCCAAAGGGATGTACCGATAAGATACGATAAGATTACGAAAGCCATTTTGTAGTTATTTTGACCTGCTATGCCAGTTTTGGGTTACACGTAGCTGTTATCTGGAAATACATCATGAGTCACGAATTTATGATGGTACAATCTTAGATCATTTATGTGCGAGTATATATGTCTAGATGTTGTTTGTAGTTGTCTAGATAGAGTATCGCATATTCCATTTAGACAAATACAAACACCTAAAAAAAGAACCTGTAAATCAAGTGTTTGACGATACTGTAGAAAAAAATAACTTTTAAAAATGTTTAATATACTGTGAATAAACCCATTTTTCATTCGCACAGTGACAGCGGAACGGCACTTGCCCAGAACTACTAACTGAAATTCAGTAGGGGATACACTTGGGATCTAACTTAATCGAATACAATTTAATTAATTTAAATCGATAAGGCCAAATGAATGAACATCCAAGAACAGAGTCCCTCGGAACGGAAATTAGTGGCCAACTGTTGGACACAATTTTTTTAAGGCTTTTACAGCTAATCTATCTAGACGTGTTTTAGGAACGTTTAGGAGGCAATTGAGCAGGCGGGTCACCAGATGGTATGTAACTGCCACCGCCCATAGACATCTTGAGTCCTCCCCAGAATCAGGGAAAGAGGGGTATGGGATTCGGTAACCTCTCTCTGTTGGTAAAAAGCACGAAAAGAACTGCTTCATTTATTAAAAGGATAACGCTTTAACATCGAAATAATAGCAATAATATACAACATTTAGGCAATTTCTTCTTCTTGACGAAACTATTGGTCTAGTGGTTAGTGATCCTGACTGCTAAGCCAGAGCTCATGGGTTCGATTCCCACCCAGGACAAATAATTGTGTGATGAGCACGATCATTTTTTCTGTGTCTGGGTGTAATTTATTTATGATATGTATGTATTTAGAATTATATAATGTTAATCAGCAGTCTGGTTACCATAGTAGAGACTCTGCCGAGTTTAGGATCAGATCGCCGTGTATGAGATGTCTGAGGTTATTATTATTTACAGATAAAC